TTTATGGCTTTGTATTTATTTTCCTCGGAGAGTAGGTAAATGGGTCATTCTCTGCTGAGTTTTCCGACCACATACAGGCGATTTCGAAGCAATCGATGTTATTAAAGCGATTACTCGAAGGACTGATCGAGATCTCTGATAGCAAGCTTGTTTTAAGGGATCGCAATTAATTCTCGATGCTGTTATCGGCATGGAATCGCTGTTATATTCTAAAAATAAGTATTTTCGTATTCGAGTGACTGATAAGTAACAGCATAGCAGGAATTTCATAAATTTCCACGAAAATTTTGTTCGGCTGGTAGCTAACTATGTTTCATCAACGTTTTCTTTTCCTTGCTCGCATCGTCGGTGTTCGCGGAAAGAACGCTTACGTCTAAAACCATCGTAGTTTATCTAGATCACAGTTCATCTCAGTGTGATGCAAAAAGGTTCTAGGAATAGTATTCGTTTAGTTCATATGTATTAATTATCACGAGGGTTAGAAAGGTGAGAAGTTGTTTCGGTAAACGCTCATGCATAAATCGTCTTATCCTCTCGCGTGAAAACGCTAATGGATGTTTACAAATTTCTAGGAACTATGACGGGTTCGTTTTATTCCAGCTTCGCAATAGGAATCGCTCTCTGTCGCCGACCCGTTTCAGTAGTACGATTTTTCACAATCCTTGCGACAGGGACGCGAAATAATTTAGCGTAATCACGGTTTGCGAATAATTTCGTGCACATTGGCGTAATCCTTTATCGGCACGCGTGATTTATTCGTGTCGGTCAAAGTTGCTACTTAGATTATACGTTATCTTCGTGTCGAAATTTTTCAACTTCCAACGTATCTGATTGGCCGGGAGCAGTACAACGTACTTACTGGCATACCGCTGTATAAATGTGGAAAATGGAATCGCGACGTGTTTTCGAATTTTAATCAGCAATATTCGAATTTCTTCGAGAGTTAATTCGAAGTCAAGATCCACAGCTGATTCCTCGATTTTTCTGTCTTTTTTCTCCTCGCATCGGGAAAGTTTTCCTAATACGTTTTTCTAATATAATTTAATCCTATATTAATATCAGTGGCCAATTTTTTTCTTTTTTTTTTTATTAACCCCTAAAATATTTTCCTGCAATTCGTCTCGTGAGAAATTTGAAGAGTTGTTGTGTCTTTGGTGGATAGCGTGGTGTGTGCTATTCCCATTGGAGTAATAGTGGCCAATGTAATTCCGAAAATCGACTATATCGTCTGATATATGCACGATAAAGTAGAATATATAAAGAATTTCTTAACATACGTTAAGTGATTAATGCCGACAAACAAGTACGAGGAACGTGTTTAAAGAAACTTTTTTTAGTCGGAATAATGAAAAAATTGCATTATTAAAGAGCTACGAGAGAGAATTATATCACTGTCTTGTATAAATAATGATTTGTTTTTCAATCTGTCTACGTAACTTTGCTTCGTGTACATCTACGAAGATGACTAACGAGTGACGAACGAAGGAAAATAAATAGATGGAATTCGTGTAATATTTCTTCGCTATTATTTCTTCCCTTTCTTCTCTGGAACGTTGAGTATACTCGCTGTTAAATTTAACGCCACGCAAAACATCGGATTGACACGCATTAACCGCGTATCACAGCTTTATTTCGTAATCCTATTTCAGAGTCGTAAAAATTGGGATACTATGGATTTTCACAGACGACCCAAAGAAAATATTCAAAATGTTATTTATGGTTTACGTGAAATATTACTTTTCCTGCGCAAATCGCGATTTCGTATTTTAATTTGGACTTCGAATTGGAAAATTTGAAAATAAAATCAAATGAATTCTAATGTAATACGAGACATCGAGTAAAAATAGCAAGACTCTACTAATAACAATGTAATTAGCTTTTACCATCGATAAATAATGCGCAAAGTTCGCGAAGATAGCTAGGATCATTCGATAGCCAACAAAATGGCGTCTCTGCCACGGTTAATATTTTCCATTTGCGTTTTAAATTCCTAAAAACTATCTGATAGATTATAACCACGAGAAAATGGGCGAAGAACGGCAAGGATACGCGAAATATCGAGTCCCTCTGTTTTATCCTTTAAAAACTCTTAGGAACGCACTCACCCTCGTGAGCTTTTACCCTCTCACGAACACGGTTATCGTGGGCCATCGTTCAGTCTCCGCGCTTATTTCTGGAATCCTTTTCCCCCCTAACGTTCCATGCTTAACGTTCGAAATTATTCTTCGTCGTTAAAAAATTCTGTACCACGAATGTTCCTCGTTCTCGACCCCTCTTCACCTCTCTTCGAACCTCTAACCTGAAAAACATGCTTGTCTTCAGCTGAAAGGTTTTTAAAAACATCGGCAAATATCGTCCATCGACGATGAAACGTTCAACGTTACGCCGCGTTTACATACATTCCAACTTTGTCCAGAAAATCATCGCAAAACATCGTGAAAAATACGAGAAAAATACGAGAAAAATATGGCAAAAATGGCAAAAATATGCCAAAAGTATGTGAAGAAGATGGCGAAGAATATCGCGAGGAATACGAAAATATTCCGACAAAATCGTCGAGAAACATTTTTAAAGTCGCCACACGACTACTTGAAAGTTCCAGATCCCTGGATTCACGATTCGCAATTAAAGATTATTAATCAGACAACGCGAAATTGGCGATTCCACGATTGACATTGGTTTGAACATTACGGTTATACTGGTACAGCCGCGTTTCATTCCGTTATGCAGCTCTTGCAATCGTAACGAGTCGAATAATCGGGGCAACAATTATCGATCGTTCTTACGTCAAACTGACATTGTTCGTTCGTTCGTTTCGCGAAACGTGATTTAATTCGTTCGGTCGTTCGCGATTTGAAATGTTTCCACGTCAAAAGCCGCTGCTGGATTCCGAAACTTTCGAGAGTCAAACTTTGATCGGCTTTGGTTAATCCTTGGATTGCTGGAATATTTAATCGTTTAATCGAACTCGCGGAGGACAGAGAAATTGCGAAATCTTTAGGAGTCGAGGATCAGCTCTGTCTCCACGTGTGGCCCCCGTAGCAATCGTATCTCGAAAATGTATACTTATCGATAAATTCTGTTTGATCCACTAATAATTATTCGGCACCAGAATCTCCTTTGATTTATATAGCGCTTGTTATGCAATCGTTCATTTATCGACGCTGGTTAACCTCTCGTCAACGTCCGATTCAGCGGAACAGATATACACGAATCTGAACGTTGAAACGAGAAACACCGAGATCGGATACCGCGAGATTTATTCACGGAGTCGTTCGTGCAAGCAAAAATTCCACGAGAAATATTTCTCGCCCGTTTTCGAAATTTTTGTTTATCGAAAATGGAAATTAAAACGTCTCCGAGCAACGTTGCTACCCGTCGAATTTAATAACCTTCTACCAAGATTATTACTAATTAATTGGTGAAAAAAGAAGAAAAAAAAGCCTGTGTATTACGCAACTATAAATATTGATACTGAAACTTACGTAAGAAATACCAGTTTCGTGAAAGATATAGTCGTCAAGGCTGGTATGATCCCTGTCGTGATAAAATTTGGCCATCACGATCCTAATTCGTTATATACCTTCCTTCCGAGGGAGGTATACAATAATAACAATAATAACAATAATAACAACAACAATAATAATAGTTACGTTTTCTCGAAGTCACAATTTTTAAAAAATTGCTATAGAAAATTCCCTTTTTTCGTTACACTAACGATGCCTTCGTCCGTTGGTTTGCAGAAAAGAAGGAAAAATGGCGCCCAACATAACGAGCACCCCGTCCGGCATTTTGTCCGAGGGTGACAACCTAGAGGAAAACGGGATGATCGACACACCTAAGAAGAAATACGTGAGACACATCGTGTGGAGGAACGTGATCATCTTCGGGTATCTTCATCTAGGCGCCCTTTTCGGGCTGTATCTCGCTTTCACATCGGCCAAGATTTTGACGTGCCTGTTCGGTGAGTGAAAGCATCAAAATGGCCAGTCGGTGATCGGTCGCGTTTCGCAACCGAGGTCCCAGCCTTTTGACCCGTCAACGAGTTAACAACCGTACGTGTGTTCGGCTTATCTCCGAACCGATATACTCCCGATTAATTCCGTGGTTCAGCTTCGTACTCGAACCCGTTGCGTGGTGGAGCTCGTGGTAAAGATTGCGACGAGCCGATGAACGCGATAAGGATGGACTTTATCGACGAAATTGCCAAGATTCAAAGTCTAGCTTCTCTTACTAACGTGTCCGGGTCTAACTGTTATTACTATTCGTTGACCAAAGAGGGACAACCAGGATAGAGGACTCTGGAATGAAAGTCCGAAACGATGGTACAGCTTGGTGTACGAATCGCGAGATAAATTTGACGATAATTGAAACACGTTTCGGACGCGAAATTTGAAGAAGCCGAACGTCGTTCGATAGGCCTTGTATCGGGGAAGCCTTGCCTTGCATGAATAATTCAGTCAGCGTTAATTAATTGTCTGGAAAAAGCGGGGAATAATAGCAAGCATCGACAAAGCGTTGGATTGCACACCTGTTGATGCACGCAGATTTCCGTGTTTCGAAAAGCCTTCTTTCCGCGATACCGTCCACGCTAATTATTTTTATTATTAGTCCAGATATATGTATAATTAGGCACTCGATCATTGTCACGAGCAAATTGTAGGGTTACCGTCGACTTTGGTCTTGATTATACGGGACTACTACTTGTACCGAATAATTATTTATCCAGACATAATGGTGATGTAATAGTCCATCCTTATCGATCATTAGACTTGAGAGTCACGTGTCACGTAGAGCCATGACGACGAAAAAGTGGAACGTCTTCCACGTGTAGAGATACGTTTAATTTAAGATTTAGTACTCTTCGAGATGAATTGATACTCTTCAACTCTCGTTTACGTTTTCCAGCCTTTATTTTGTATGTATGCAGCGGCATTGGAATCACGGCTGGCGCTCACAGATTATGGGCACACCGATCTTACAAGGCGAAGTGGCCTATGGAGTTCGTATTGATGATCTTCAATACCATAGCATTCCAGGTAAGCGATCGATTCGTGATTAAGTAATTGATCAATGTTGTCCTTCAGGGAATCGTACCACCGTCCTGTTACGCGATTGGAGGAAAAAGTAGCGAAATTATCACCCAGACGTTGAACGACCCTTGAGCCCTCTGCTATCGACTCGTCTGGCTGGAGTTGCGCAATTTTACTAGCACGAAAACGAAAGACTCGTTCGCAGTACGTTCTCGACTGGTTTGGTAATTAATCTTGCTTGAACCGAGTAGATATGGCATAATTGTCGAACGAAGAAGCATCGGAATTAATAAGCCATTGGACGTAAGGCAAACGAGTTGCTTTCGGTGGTTAAATTCTGGCCTCTTTTGTACTTCGTTCGTAACAAAGAGAGCTTTTCGATGAATTCAGCGGAGCAGCTCTCTAGCTCACAATAAGCTCTTGGATGTCGCATCGCTGTGAAAGAACGATATCCGATGTTCGATATCTCGACGTCGTTAAATTTTTCCGGATGATGCTTCTGGTGAACGCGATTGTCGTGTATAATTTTCGATGCAATTCATTCGTCGTTTAACGTGTCACTCTGTAACCACAAACTTTGAGCATGACTGCCTTTACTTTTATACACGATGATTTTCTTAAAATTATTCCAAGTCTCTCTCCCGTTGAGCGAAACGACGTGTCAAAGATGGTAACATTACGATAGTGCAATTCGGTCTTGCATTTAGCATTAGCATTCGAATTTAGCACTCGGTCTTTTGACGTAAATCCTTCGTAGAATAAAAAAAAAGAAAAAACTGACCATCGTAATAGAATTTGCAATTCTTTGCGAGGAGAGTTGAGAGCTGAGACGCACTTGTCTTAAGTTTTTGCTCAATTTTTGTGGCCGGTGACTATAGTCACCCGTAGCAGCGAAAGGGTTAATTATTTAATTACCAATATAAAATTGTTAATTTTTCTGGAAATAAATAATAACCGGAACGAAGAATTATTACGATCAGCAGAAGTTCGAAATTTTGATTCGAGCGCTCTCCAATTTCAAAATTTTCGTCTACTTTTCTTCCAATTAAATTTCAAGTCAAATCTTTCGTTTTCCCCATTGTTCCCATACGAATGTGTTCCAGCATCTCGAGTATTTTCCCGATCGATGGAACGCAAGCGTATGGACCGGTTTCAAGCGGTTACAAACGGGCACTTCACTTCAAAAGAGTCAGCTAATTAGATCGAAGATCGAATATTAGAGTGTCCGGTACCTCGTCCAATTAGAGCGACGAGATTAAATTGATTTATTTATTTTTAATATTTACGTTCGTTATCGACAGGATGCGGCTATCGATTGGGCCCGGGATCACAGACTTCACCATAAATACAGCGAGACGGACGCGGACCCCCATAACGCGAAGAGGGGATTCTTCTTCGCGCACGTCGGCTGGCTCCTCTGCAAGAAGCACCCTGACATCAAGGAGAAAGGCAAAGGAATCGATCTCAATGACCTGAAGAAAAATCCTATATTGGCGTTCCAGAAAAAGTGGGTACCCTTTATCGACGCCCTTTCTCCATCCGATGAAGCGGAAAATCAGACCTTCCTCCTATGCTGTGTAATAAGATTTTGTCGAGATCGATTCGAGGCTTTGAGAAGAATTGATCGTATTGTGTCAAGTTTTCAATTAGAAAGAGACATATCTCGGATAGGGGAAGAACAAAGCGCGGGGGTCGCTCAAACGGGGGTGTTTTTCTAGTCTTGCGGTTCCCTATTGTGTTGCCGCGGTTGGTATCCTGATGATATCGTAGTACTATGATATGTAGCAGGTAGAAGGATGCAAGGAAGGGATGCGTTTGGACCTGGGCCTGCTAGTGGACATGTCGTTCTAGCAGGTCCGGTCTTAGACGGGGTACTTAGGTAGCATAGGAACTTGTATTTATGAGAGATCGAGGAGACCTCGAACCTCCATTTTCCATCCAGCAATGAGGGTGCGAACGTTGGTCGCTAGAAAAGAAAAGATAAACGATTAAATAGGCATAAAGTAAATTAAGCGAATAAAGTTCCTAATGCTTCGTAACGTGTTGTTGCAGGTACTACTTGATTCTTATGCCTCTGTTATGCTTCATCGTACCAACTATAATTCCAGTCTACTTCTGGAACGAGACATGGTTGAACGCTTATTACATCCCTACTATTTTGCGTTACGTTTTCACGTTGAATATGACTTGGCTGGTCAACTCTGCGGCTCATCTGTTTGGTAACAAGCCATACGACAGGTTAATATCGTATCTTACGATTGATTGTTAGTAATGGATGAAGGATTAATCGTGCGGTATGATGATTTGTACAGGTTTATCAATCCAGCGGAGAACAAAGCAGTGGCCTTAACCGCGTTCGGCGAGGGTTGGCATAATTATCACCACGTTTTCCCATGGGACTACAAGACGGCTGAGCTGGGCAACTACAAGTTCAATTTTACCACAGCCTTTATCGACGCTTGCGCGAAACTTGGATTAGCATACGATCTGAAAATCGTTCCCAGAGACATAGTGCAGAAGCGAGTGGATAGAACCGGCGACGGAAGTCACGATGTGTGGGGTTGGGGTGATAAAGATCAGACGCAAAAAGACAGAGACATAACGATGGTGACGCACACTCTGAAGAAAGATCATTAAGGATCATTAGACACGTTTATATTGCAGGGCTGATCGTCCGTTCGTTTGGTCGACTAAAATATCGAACAACGGCCCGCTTCTTTGTACAGTTCTATATAAAAGGGGTAGAATATCCGGGAATCAATCGAAACATTTGGAATATCACTTAATATTTTTGTTCACCCGGTTATATCAGCATTGGATATACACAGTTTTTCACCGAGATCGGTTCACGATTAAGAATAAAACATTTGTACATCGTTTCGTTGTGTGTTTCCACCAAGAATGGTTAATGCACTAAGATTTTTCGTTCTGCCTGGATATATGCACAAAACCACGTGTTACTATCGAATGGAAATCTTTATTCTATTTTATTAGTCCTATTTTATTATAAGAGTAGCTTAGGGTAATAGTATACGTGCTGTGAATATCGGTTTCTACAAGATAAGAGATGTTTATTGATCGAGGGATAGGCTGAATTGAATGCGGCCGACATTACGATTACGCGACTGATTTGATAGGTCATTTGGCGGGTTCTAAATGTCCTTTTTGATTCCGAGGGCAAATCAAAAGCACTTCGTTCAGACACTTTAACGACGTTCTAGATCGCATCGATAGAATCGCGCGCGACGTTCGTCTCGAATATTGTATTCCAAAGCCTGAAAATATTCTTCCTTATTCCAGCTCGTTAGATTGTTTCACAGTGTCCACAGTGGTGGAGGTCCCCGACCGAAACCTCCGACTTTTCCCTTCGATCGAATCACTACGTGAATTCTGTTATTAAAGGAATTCTTTTCTTTAGGTTTTTACCATATCGTCCGACAGTCCCGAGTATCGTACAGACATAGGGATCGTCAAGGATGAAAAGATATCTTTGAAAAACAAAACATTCCGTCGACGCGAGTTGGACGTTTGTTACAATGGCCGTACAACCAGGACGCGTTAAATGTTTTGTTGAAAGCAAACGATTGAATCGAGTGAAACCTCGTCGAGAACGTCATTGTTAATTATAGTCATCATTTCGGTACGACAATAATCATTTGTTCGATTCCTGTTTTCGCACGTGTCAATGACAAATCGAAGATTTCGCGTTACTCTTTCTCGTTGAGCCACATTGTTAGATTTTCTTTCTCGCCCTCTTTCCTTTTTCTCTTTACCTTTTAACGTTGTTCCTGAACTCCTTCCAAGATGTTTGTACTCACTGCTTGAAAAGCATCGCTAAGCATGTCACTTTGTAGTAAGTACCCTTTCTTTTCTTCCTCCTTCTCTCTTTGTCTTCTTTTCCATATTCTCGTCCGAGCATTTAGTCACGATCCGACATAAATCTTACTTTGTAATCGCGTTTATCGATTATCGAAACGTAGAAATTCAGTCATATCTCATTTTCTCCTTTCCCTCATTCATCTTGTATTTGTTATTCGGTCGAATTTAACCCTAGAAAGCGAAAGCTTCGACAGAGAACGCAAAGCACAAGGCTCTATTCCATTTGCCATCCAGTAATTTTCGTTTCTTTTGCTCACAATTTTTTCCTTTATTTTTTGCTTCTTATCAAATGCTTCTGTTGAATGCAATGAAAAATTAATTTCGATATTCGTTGTCAAGAGCAACTACTAAAGATTCTTTTTCTATGCGTATCGTAGAAAGCAGCGTTCTTTTTATTTTGGGAAATTAACGTTTTAATTTCTCTATGGAATTTATACGATCACGAAAGATGTCACAGTTTATTTCTTCGATGATGTTGAGCCTGAAGGAATATAGTCACAATGAGAGAGAATTGTGAGAGATTTATCAAAGCTTCCTAAACGTAGAAGTGACAATTTCACGCTTTCTGAGGTTAAAAGAATAAAAAAAGGAAAAAAAAACAAATAGGGATATCATATCTTTTTAACTTATTTTCCGGGATCCTTAGAGACTAGCGCATGAATAACATTGAATATTTGTACTCGACGACACTCTTTGTTGTAGCGAATAAAAAGAGCGTGATTGTAAAAAAGGAAAAAAAGATGATGTCGGTTGATTTAAGGATCAGCGTGGCTTTTGGTACCTTTAAGAAAACACGCTGTGCGCTGCAGCGATTTACATATGTATATTTGTACGATTATTTGCAAGATAACCGATTGCAAGGAAACATTGTAAAAAAAGACAAAAAAAGGAAAAAAAAATCAAAAAACAAAGAAAAAACATTGTACGCTTAATGTTATGTAAATGACTGTCAGTTTTCTACTCGAACCTCTTACTTTGGACAAGTTTAGCCACCGAGGGCGCTCGTCACATTCACCGGTGGTTCCTAACCAATTCCATCCTAAAGATTTCATCCTACACCGTATCGGAAATCAAGGGATTGGCTAAATAGATTCCTCGAAAAGAATTCTCTCCACGATGATAATCGCAAAATGCAGAAAAGTTTAGGTAGAACTTGGTAAATTCTTTTATTGTTATTGAAAGCATCCGAGAGGTCTACTCTACTGAAATTTGTATCATTTTGTTGTGGGAACACAAAGTGTTTGTTCACGATTTTTTATTGAATCCTAGAAAAATATTCTCATTATGAAACATATCTAATGAAACAATTTATTTACCCAGTAGTTATATCTATCCTTTGATTAAACCTTCGCTCTTCAACTACTCTCAATTCTTTCATCCGAGTCTTTGTTTAGGAGTACAAAATACGTCAATATGTATTTTGCTAGCGGAGTGGAGCCACACAGATCAGAGACGTACATAGACGAGCAGCTGATACGAAGGAAAGTGAAGGAAAGTGAAGAAAAGTGAGATCGTCCATGACTTTTTGCATAAAGTACAATAGTGCCCCGTTAGTAGACGCTCTGTTGCCTCTGTAGTAGGCACAGAGTCATCCTTACTATCTCCAGGAGCATGGACGAGCTTTGTGACGATTAGGTTTATGAATTACCAAGATTATTGGTTTATACTTTTATTATACGGAAATATGGAGTTCGATAAATTTTGACAATTTACGAGACATCTGAAGAATGCATATCGATGTACCCGTTCAAATAAGAATTTATTTATTTCATTGTTCTGACAGAATGTTTATTAGTCGCAAGACAAATCCTCTACCTCCACTGTAATCATAGTTTTACTACACTGACAGTTTAGTTTACTATCATCCATTTCTATCGAATAGTAACGAAGCAAACAGGAAAAATAAAGCAATGCCAATACCTAAGAAACCATACCATTTCTCGTCAGTAGACAATATGGCGGCGACCCGCGTCCACTATCAGGACACTATTGTAATTACACACGAGTTTTATCCAAGACGTACAAACATCTCCATTCACGAACGTAAACTCTACGACGAATTCTCTGATATTAACTTTAAGATGTAACCTTAGCTTCGAACAAGAGTATGATGTTACTAGGTTTTAAGAGACAAATATATGCTGTTTTGTTACCAGAACCAAGAGAAGTGATTTCATTTGATATCATTGTAATCGGTAGTTATACTTGAACATCAGTCTCGAGATAATACTCGAGTCTCGTTTCTTCCCTTATCTTAATTCATAAAAATTAATAAGAATAATAACAATTGCGAATTTTATTAGCCTTATTTTATCTATAATGCAAGAAGGCACAGAGTGTTTATATCCTCCACTGACACTCCCATCATCATAAACAGTGAATGCTATTGATGGAAGATGATGACGAAGATCATCGATCACCTTTTTCTCTGATCAAAGAAGAATCAACGGAGTTAATTACTCGTAAGGATATAAAGACTGTGCCTTCTTCTCTCGAACGCGCAATACACATCACTACACTCTTGCGTAACACTGCTATATCTTTCTTCTGGTACCAATCAGTCTATTCACGACGATATTACTTCCCAAGTCTCGAATTAAAATGGAGATTTTCTCAACTACAGATACACGTTTCTGCTCTGTGTCCGAAATTACTATGATCGATGCAACTCAGCGTGATTATGAAACGACCAAATAATTATTATTATCAGAACACAACAGAGGTTCACATTCATCAACGAGTAACATCCTAAACGACTTGTCGACACTCAGAATCACCTGGAAAGAAGCTTAATGACAGAATCGTTCAATGGGGACCAGCATCGAAGGCCATTCTGAGCCACGACAGGTCTAACAGCCTTGCATTTTCAATTCACAATGCAGGCAATAATTTGTTCTTCCTCGCATTGTACATGGATTTCTCTTTCAGCTTCTCGAGGGAACTATCGAGTGGCATTTTCTTCTGGCTCAGTCCGTGAAGCATGTTCCTCACATCCTCGGTGTCAACCGTCAGCAGAAGGGTGACCAGACCAAGCTCGTACCACATCTTGATGAAGAACGTGGTGCAGCCGGCTCGGTAGGTGCCAAACTCGCCGGTTTGCCAGTCCCATGGGATCATGTAGTGATACGCAGGCCAATTGGATTTTGACAAGAAGAAAACACTGATGTCCTCCTTAGAAGTCCTGAAATCGTGAGTATATTAATAACTTGTTCCCTTCGAGTTGCGATTCGTGGAATTCAATCATGGACGTTTGCTTCGATCTCCATGTACGCGCATACTATAACCTATTGCTATATATTTCTTAGATAATTGGAGAAAAATATTTCTCTGTCAATAGCATCGAGAATTTTTCATATGATTATTAAATATTCGCTTTACTTATTATTTAACTTCGTCAATTCATCATGCAGACGTCACTTCGTAGCTAGTACGAATATATATGTATATTAGAAAGTGTCGAGATATTGGAAAAATTGAGACGACGAATATAAAGTTGACGATTGAACAACACAATTTTCCAGTCAAGTTTTGCTGTATTTTAATCAACGAGTTCTTTGGCCCTGATGAAATACTACTGACACGTTTATTTCACGTGGAGCCCGTCACCGTCAATGACGACAGTGCCATGGCTACCAGGCATCTTAAAGAACAACTTGTACAATAGGCTACAGGTATCTGAAAAGAGCATTAACTTTTGCTGTTGCAAGCTCCAGACCAGGCGTGCACTGTTCACCAGCCAGGACGCGTTCGCCGTGATGGCAAACCGCAATAGTCCTGCGATTAGTATGGTCTCGGTCATCGACTCGTCCCAGTACTCCAAAGGCGCGTTCAGTGGTAGTATTAAGCCGAATATTATAAATATCGGCCAATAGAACCTGCGAATAAGACGGAGAGAAGATGAAACTATCCTGACAATTGGAAAATTCGGAGAACATTGGCAAAATGGCGGGCGATAAAAGGCGAAATTATGCAAAGGCGTAGCCACAGAAAGCTCAGGCTAATTTCTGGAAGATGGTAACGCAAATTTTGCGAGACGTCCAGGTAATTCTGAAGATTAATTCGAGTAAAATTTTGGAGATCAACGATCCTTTAAGGGACTTGGAAAAATTTGCAGGTTTTGAAATTTGGAAACGAGGATAGCTTTTAATCCCTTGACTAGGGCAGATTTTGATTTTGATTGCAGCCGCACCACACGGCAGGAATTGAGTTACGACGTGCGCCATTTTTGTGAAAACAAGCGCCCTCCGTGTCAGAAAGCCAAACTACGTCGAGCGCCTATAGGTGCCCTTCGTGTCACAAACGCAAAATTTCTAAACGCCTATAGGCGCCCTTTGTGTCACAAATGCAAAATTTCTAAGCGCCTATAGGCGCCCTTTGCGTCACAAACGCAAAATTTCTAAGCGCCTATAAGCATCCTATGCGTCACAAATGCAAAATTTCCAAGCGTCTATAGGCGCCCTTCGTGTCACAAACGCAAAATTTCTAAGCGTCTATAGGTGCCCTATGTGTCACAAACGTAAAATTTCTAAGCGCCTATATGCGTCACAAATGCAAAATTTCTAAGCGTCTATAGGCGCCCTTCGTGTCACAAATGCAAAATTTCTAAGCGCCTATAGGCGCCCTATGTGTCACAAACGCAAAATTTCTAAGCGCCTATAAGCATCCTATGCGTCACAAATGCAAAATTTCTAAGCGTCTATAGGCGCCCTTCGTGTCACAAATGCAAAATTTCTAAGCGCCTATAGGCACCCATAGTAACCAAGGGGTTAACAGCGAAAATCGTGTTAATAAACAAAAATCGTACTTCTTCTGCAACCAGACGTAGCGATCTAACTGGATATCGCGCATGTCCACTTCTTGGTTCATCTCTTCGAGGTCCATATTCGGCGTGGCGACATTGCTTATGTAATGACTGTAGAAAAAGCCCTTGTTATGGTTGTAAGGATCTTTGTCGGTTCCGTAATGCTTGTGATGAAGCCTGTGATACAACACCCAGTCATGTATCGGGCCCTGTGAATAATATTCGATCAGTCCCTTTATTTTATATATTAAAAGACTCGCAACTATCACCTCTAACAGCTTCCTGTCTACATGGATTACATTAGGAAGTTCATAATCACAACGTAGCTATTAAATATACCTATCTTGAGACACCTACCACTCCTGCGAGGGTGTGAGCCAGCATGAGAAAGAGCCTAAGCTTCCCCTCAGCTTCGTACGACCTGTGAGCCCACAATCTGTGGGCCCCAGCTGTCACTCCCAGACAACCAAGAGCCGTTATGAACAACGCTACAAAATTGATTAATTAATATATAATAAAAAAATATTTCTAATAATAAAATAAAATAAAATACGATAATAAACTACAGCGTGGAATTCAAAAGACTGACGAATAAACCAACAACGAAAGATAGCTAAACAAACATCTGTCCTGTCTTCCAAATGGTCACGAAATTTTCCAAAAGACTATGGCACACTGTAAGATAATTTACCACGAATCCGAAACAATGGTGCACTGGACTCGACAAGAAACAAAGGGGTATCAGAGGAGTTTCTTACTATAGAACACCGTCATCCACTTTGCAGACGTGAACAGCAACCAGATGGCGTACACTCCGAGAACGTGCAGATGAATGTACCACAAAACGGCCCCCCATTTCATTTCTTGCTTCTTCGCTGGTTTCTTCTCGCCCGACATCCTGTTCCTCGACAAATTACAGGTTACATACACCGTTCGAAGAATCGCGGTACCGGGTTACCGATTTACCATCGAACCTCTCTCTCGCTTCCGCGTTTGGGTGCCACTCCGAATTCTCGAAGATTGGTCGAAGGACCACGAAGAACGGGAAAATCGAGAATCGATGAAATTACGTTTGGAATACCAATCGAGGTGGAAATGAAAGTGGCAGAGAATTTTAAAACGAAATTATAGAATCTATTTCTCTAATATCTAATATCGCGAACGATGGAAGAAGCTGCTCGGAAGAGGAAGCGATGCAATTCGAGAGATCGAGTCGCGTATGCAGACTGTCGAATTTACCTGTTTCTGTGGCACGAAACGCGCTTCTGGGAGGCCGGAAAAGAACTGCTTAAAGAAATGCCAAGTACGGACCTCGTCGATCGACCTCCTGGCCTTTGTTCGAATTCCATTATCGTCCAAGATTTAACATCGTCATTTCCTTTGTTTTGGCGTCGTTCAATTTGGAGCAGCGTTCCAGGGGAATCGTTTAAAAATCGTCCAGGCTACTGTTGCATATCGTTTCACGATTTTCTATAATAATTTCTGCATGTAGATTTTAATACTACGCTAGACTTAGTTAATCGATTAATCGATTCATTGTTGATGGGGAGAAGTTTCGCTGTTTTAATTTTGAAAATTAAGAAATATTCGAAAGAGCGAGCTCGTGGAGTTCCAATGAAAGATCGGTAATTTGATTTTTCAAAATATGGGAGATCAAATATTTGAGAATATTATGGGGGTATAATGACGAGGAAAATAATAATTTATCGTAGAGATTGGAAGCAATCGCTTGTTCTAACTCTGTGATTTTTCATATAATTTAAAGATTCGGGTTATATGCAAATGTGGCTAGTCGTGGCGCCACTGTCGCTATGCGAGATATTGTTTGGAAATTAGGCAAGTCTAGCCGATTTCTTGCTCGTTCGAAGACGTGTACGACGTGACTGACAGTTTAAGACAGTTAGATTAGAGAATATTTTGAACAATTTTGGGAAATCGAGGAATTACTATATTAATTATTAGGAATTACTAATTTAAAATATTAAATATCGGCTCATAATTGAGGAAGCGAAGAAAGAGACTAATCCGCTCGAGGAAAAAGCGGGAATTTATTGGTTAATACGTAACAAATCAGGTTTATTTCGCGACTCACGCGTTTTCGACGTATTTTTCCAACGATGATCCTTAGCAGTGAATAAGCAATTAAGTTTCGTTGTTGACTTATGTTCGAATGGCATGTGGAATAATCCAGCTTCGTCATCAGATCAAAAGAAAATCATCAGAATTTTCACGGCTGACGAATTTATCGTTTTAATATTTTATTTCCATTCCCTTTTTCCTTGATTCGATTATAAGAACGTCCTGGATACAACAGTTCAGTAAAATTCAAATCAGGATGGTAATATACCTCGATCTCATAGTGTCGTGAGTCATTGACACTCTTGCTGAACGACAATTCGTATGATCAAATCATTCTCGAAAACCAGAACGGAACAATTTTTCGATTTATTAAAAATTTTACGAAAAATGATCCTCGAACATCGCATTAAGAAATTACTATACTCTGTTCATCATTCGTATCCTTGTATCGTTGCTATCCTCTTTGGAATCTTCTATAGTTACTTTTTAGCATTCGAAAAGTAATTTTTCTAATTATTTAATATTTTTTTTTTTCTCCTTTTTTCGAGATTTGTTGCTATCCTCTTTGAAATCTTCTATAGTTACTTTTTAGCATTCGAAAAATAATTTTTCTAATTATTTAATATTTTTTTTTTCTCCTTTTTTCGAGATTTGTTGCTATCCTCTTTGGAATCTTCTATAGTTACTTTTTAATATTCGAAAAATAATTTTTCTAATTATTTTAATATTTTCTTTTTTCTTTTTTTTTTGAGACCTCGTGCACCAGTATCTTCGTATTATTTCTTTATATTTAATTATGGTTACTTTCCGAATTTCCTCATAGCAATTTTCAGAATTCGGAAGACGATTCTGATTATTTCTAAGAATTTTCTACCATGTCAACCATGTCTCACGATTTTCTACACTGGTTCTTTTAAATTATTTATTAAAATATTATACAATTATCTTCAGAAACATATTTGATATATTAGAATCTGTCGTAATTAAACGTTCTTCGAATATTCTATCGTTTTCTAATTATGGTAACTAGACTTCGATCGAAAGCACGTCTCGAATCTACATTCTCTGCGATGGACAACTCAAACGTACTCCTATAAATGAAAGCAACAGCATACAGATACATTCATATCGTACATGCACATATACATTTATTCGCCTACTTAAAAATAAAAACGATTTTGTACATCATGCTCGCAGAGACATTCCGCCTTGCTTCCTTTAAACCCAAATATCGATTTACGAATCATTCTCGACACACAGGCTGCCACAGAAGCTTGCAAAAATACCACGAATTCCTCTCCGAATAAACTTTTCAAAATTCGCTCCGCGAAATTGCCACGACAAACGAGATTCGCGGGAAATTTCGAAAAATTCCTGAACCCAACGTCCACTGGACCACACGGAACGAAGAATCGCGTGACGATGATGGGCAATTCGCGTCGGGCACCATTGCAAGTCCGCAAATCCAATAATTCGCGAATCCTCGTTAAAATAATTTCCACGAAAATTGAAGGAACACTGCATCGACGAGTCGTCACTAGCGGAATCTCGTCACTGTTTCTTCCTGTCCATCAGCTTCAGCTCCTGGAGGTCCTCCAGTGGAATGTCGGCGTCGCCGTAACCCCAAACATGGCTGCCATCGCCAGATCTGTTCGCTCTTCGTCGCACCATAGCTGGCGACACGTACTTGCGATCGTAGGCCCAACCGATTCGCGCGAAGGCGTCGATGAAACCGGTGGTCATGTTGAACGAGTAGGTGCCGAGCTCTCCCGTCTTATAATCCCACGGGAACACGTGGTGGAAGTTGTGCCAGCCCTCGCCTAGAGCCGCGATCGAGACCACCACGTTTTCCACCGGAGAGATGTATCTGCGAGGGAACCAACGAATTTTAATCACGTCGAGGGGCACACTGCGAGTTATTGCCGATTAACTGCGATCTCGTGGTCAAATTCGAGTACAAAATTCGACAACTGACACGTCTTTTGCGATCTTTTTAACCCCTTGCACTGGTATTTAATTACAGAAAATTGTATTTAACTTTATACACGACAAAATTGGATAAAAATTTCAGAGATTCTTCGAATTTGCGAAATATAATTATGAGCCAGTGGTTAATATTAATCGTGATATTTGATTAACCCTTTGCACTCGAGAGGTGAGCTTCAGTTACCATTTAATAAAATTTGGAAGATCGATATTAATTAATATATCAAATTGAATGTATAGCAGTGTGCGAAGTATCGAAGTCAAATAATTCTACAATTCTTTATTTACTGTTCAAGAAAATATCGTCAGTTTTTTAGTAGAGAATCTTTGAATTATTACTCTCTTCTAGCCAAAAGATCGTCAAGTGCAAAGGGTTAATATTAAAGATGCAAAGTCTCAGTATTTTTCTGTGCTCTAAATATATTACTTTCTTTTCTTTTTTGGCGGAATTTTTATAAAAATTTCTTGGATAAAAGGTTTTCTTGTATCTTATACTTGCTAAAGAGTATCGAAGATTGAATTGCTGCTTTTGTCTGCTTAGTGTCATATCACAGTTCTTGCCTGTCTAATCTATTATCATGTATATACATATTCACAGAATTCTAAATCATTTTATTAATTTTCTTATAATGCAATGTGTCAATTCTTTTGTATCTCGTTACAGGTGTCGTTTCATGCACGTAAATTTAATTCTAAAATTTTCTTTCCCGGAACGTATCCGCTTTCAGAATGATTACGAGACACGTTAAATTATGTTATGCAATTTTGCATCCTTTCTACTGTCAAACGAATTTGTTCGTCTACCTTCTTCTGTTTCAAAGACTAGACTGTTCCAGTTATTTGAAACACCCTGTATATCGTATCCTCTGCTATTTATAAAATTGCAGAAATTATCGGAAAGAAACGAGCGTAATATTTCAAACGCATAGCGAAAAAAGAAAAATAAATTATGATAAATTATGACGAATTATGGTTGATGTTGTATACTTTGAGACGAAGAGATAAATGTCCGGAGTGAGATTTATGCGAGTCACGTAACTGAAAATGTTAGGCGTTCACGAAGTTCGATGTAACTTAGAATTCACGAGGAAACTGATAATTTACTTGTCATAAGGTCGTTGACCCCACATGTGCGCAACGCTATTCACGAAGAAGGCTATGTTGAGGGTAACGCAGAAGCGGAAGTTGAAGTTCACCCAGAAGGAGGTCCAAAGGGACTCTGACCAGTAGTAGTAGGGCACCATGACCGGAAGTCCAATTGTCAGAAGAGCGAACAGGGGAATGTAAAATCTGCAATTCGATATATTCGTGGCTAAATTTTACAAAATTCTTGGAAACGATCCTGATAGTTAATTTACACTGTTAACCCTTTGCATTCGAGAGGTGATCTTCAGTCACCATTTCATAAAATTTGGAAGATCGATATTAATTAATATAACAAATGTAATGTAATGTAATGTAACAGTGTGCGAGGTATCGAAATTAAAAATAATTCTACAATTCTATTACTATGCAATTATTTATTTACTGCTCAAAAAGGTATCGTCAGTTTTTTAGTAGAGAATCTTTGAATTTCTACTCTTCTCTAGTCAAAAAATCGTCGAGTGCAAAGGGTTAATAATTATTACAAGATCCTGCATAGAGTTTTCCACGATCTGTAATTTTATTTCTATAAAATAAGCTTTTCTCGTTATTAAGTCTTGCTTATTCGTAATTTCATGCACGATTTTACCTTTTCTGCCACATGACGATCGGGTCAGCTTCCAAGTCGCTCATGTCCACTGCTTTCCGCTTCACCACGACGTCAGGGTGCGGCGTGGTGAAGAGCCAGCCCACATGAGCGAAGAAGAAACCCCTTTTCGCGTTATGGGGGTCCGCGTCGGTTTCGCTGTATTTATGGTGCACCCTGTGATCCAACGCCCACGCGTATACGTGTTTCTACGTACAAATATAATTTACCATTTAATTTACCATTTGCCATTAATTCCTCGGGGACCAATCATTGGCAATATCGACGTTTAATTTTTTACCAGGTTAATTAATTTTTTGAACCACATTCCTCGAAGATATCGGCTATTAATTTCTCAAATACCAATTACCAAAAACGAAATTCTTGAGAGTTATTCAGTAGAAGTCACTTCCTTGGAAGACGATTAAAAGTAAATAAAAATACATCAGGAGTGAAGGTTAAATTCGTAGAAATTACTAAGTAGAATTACAAATTAACGTGTCGAAAGATGGTTAGGTACAGATAACGGAGAATTTATAAAAATGGGGGGAAAAATTTCCGAAAAATAGATAAAAATTTGTAAATAATTATTATTAACTGTGGTTATAGAAATTACTAACTTGTCCAGTTATGGTGAACAAGAACACTAGGAGTAATCGCAAGGGCCATTTCGCTTTGTACGCCCTGTGGGACCACAACCTATGAGCTCCTGCTGTTATGCCGAAGCCGGAAGTGTATATAGTCGCGAATGCTGTAACAGAATGCATCATATATATTTATAGTTTAGGCTTCAGCGTAGCAAGTGTATCTATAAGTGTCTATCGAACTCATCAGGTATATTTATGATCCGAACTTGACCGCATAAAATGCACGTAATGCACACCTTGTTTAATATTAACCATTCACCTTCCTAACTCTAATCGATTTAGAATACTTCTATTATAAATGGAAATAATTTGAACGATATTATATAAGCAGAAACAGAATTCAATACCATCCTCTAATATTACATTTTTATTTCACTTATCTTCCTTATCAGATCTTCTATTATCATCGTAATCTTATCAATCCCTTATATCCTCCACGTAATATATTTCACTCGTTCAAATCTTGGTCGAACTTTGACTGATCTTCCATTTCGTGAAGATTCGATGTGTCGAGTTTCAGTTGCTCGAGTCAGGTTTCTCAGATTCGGGAAATATATTCCGTAATAAAATATATCCTCTGATATGTTTTCGATGGTAGAATATATTTTCGATATTTTTGATATTTTTGATATTTTTGATATTTTCATATGAAAAGGAAGGTTGAAAATTTGACAGTCCTGTCGTATTTCTGGTTCGATTTATCTTCGAGTACCAACTCGTTTATCTCGCTTTCATTCAACTACTTTTCGAATGCTTGTTTTATTTATCGTATGATTCAGAGAGATCTAGGAAACGTACGAGTATTTATTTCAGCAATCTTCCACGTGTGTGTTAACAAAAGTCGAGGAAATTAATTCTAAATCTAGTATCAAACGATGACTAAACTTAAGATAAATTAAGTTGTTAAATTCTTTCAACTAATATGATTTTTTAATATTATACTTCGTGGCAGGAGTTAAATCTGCGTATTTGTTTGGAACTGATCATTGTTTCGAATTATGTATATTACGCGATAGTAACGGGGATTAAATTTTAAATAAATTTTGGATTTTTAATTAATTACTATAATTGAATATATCCTCGAAGGAACTGAGATTGTAAATGTCGTAAACAATCAAAGAATTACATGGACATTTGATTGTATTTCTCCTTTTTAATTTTCGAGTTCTTCGAGAAAGTATTGAGAAGCAAATTGGTTCGTCGAGTACTGATCACGAAGTCTTGGTACTTTGTATGATCCATGGCCAAGAGCGGTGTCATAGATTAATAATAATCGTGCAGGAAATGGCCCCGGGTTATTTCTGTCGGTGGTTCGAATTTTTGCAACACAACCATTGCGACGTCTCGTCGACCAGTTAGCACATAACGCACTTCCGTCCTGAACGTCGTTTTTGGAACAGATTATGTAACACGTAATTTTTTAGAAATCATCGAATTTCTATTTTCATTAATATATTCTCTGACATCCTTAGTTATTTTTGCTATCCTATTTGTCTCTTCGGTACATAGCCATTTTCTGTTTGATAGTGAAATTGATATATTTTTTATTATCTCAATTAGAAATCGGAATGGTAACCACCTTTCTGTTTCTGTCATCACTCGAAAATTCTTTTTTATTATGTCTTTGGTGCTGTTGGATACCATTAATCAATAAATCATTAGAATTCCTACCTTTAAGTATTAATTACGCAAGCTTTGTTTTTACTGAAGCTATTTTTGACGTAACCATTTTTTTTTATCACTACAAATTATATTCCTTTTTTGTGAATCCTTTTTGTAACTACCAGTTTTCTCTTTATTACTTCATTTTTAAGTGCTATCTCATTTGTATAACTTTTTTACTGCTTCTGAACCCTCCATTTTTTTGGAGTCATTGTGAAGAATATATTTGGAGAAGGTAGCCCCACCACGCCACTTAAACACTATATTTTATTTGACCCATTATAGGATGATTATTTTTTAATAAGGTGGTCATAATAGATCGACATTGGTTCGAAGGTTGAATTAAATTCAGAATTTTTATTATAGTTTAAAAAATCCTCTTTTTTCTTGGTCAAAAACACATATATTGCATGCAAGCACAATTTTCCCCATAGGGATCGAGAAGAAGGTGGAATTAATTAGAAGGATGGTGCGCGAAAAATGTGGGGGTGTGTGCTTGGTCACCCATCCTTCCGAGAACCTCACCCCGATCGATATTTAACCTGGAATAGCACCTGACCATCGACAATTCCTTCGCGGTATTCTCACACTCGAATCGATTATTCCTCGATAAGATATATATTGAACTACAGAAGCACGATACTTATTGATTTTATATCATCGCTATCTTTATCTTCATTATGTTAAAGAGGTAATCGATAAATTAATAAGTAAATCAATGGAGTGTGAGAATTTTCGTGTTTTGTCTTCTCAAAAAATAATACGATTGAAATCTGACGAGTGAAATAAGAATTTGAATCTCTAATTAAGGGCATGCGATGTATAAAAAATGATGAAATTCTTAAAGTTGGCAATTTTTTTATATCTATATTTTTTATTATTGGCTTCTTGATGATAATTCTTTTTATATCGTTGAAGCTATTGTGATCTGTCTCGAGCCAAGATTTTATCATAAAATTGTCCTTGTGATTGTGTACTTTCTTTTGCTTCGATTTTAATTTGATTTTTATTTTCAATACGTTCAATCGATAATTCAATTATGTAATAATGAATGTCTACTTATTGTTACTGATTATGCAATCAGAATTAAAAGGATCATTTTCTCTTCTAACGTGTTAAATAAAAATAGAAATTTCAGGCTACGAATATTATAATTAAATTCACCTAACTCTATTTCTTTATCGATAAACTCATAAATATTAGAAGAATAGGCTTCATATGAAAAACAACCCTTGTTAATTATATTATTTTTTTAAGAGAAAGACCAGTGAATACTCCTCGTACCATAATCCAAAAAATACATCATTTTTTATAATACCAATTCCACTATGGCGTGAAAGATACCTCTAATTGTCAGAATGACCATTCCTTAAACTCCAATAAAAATTTAACCAGGATTGTTTTCAATACAAACCCTTCATTCAATTTTATCTATAAAGCTAGTGATATTCCTTATTTTCCCCTAACTTTTCACATAACTCTAATAATAGTTAATACTCGATTAATGCTTTATAATAATATTCACGTAACTCACATAACTCTAATAATAGTTAATACTCGATTAATACTTTATAATAATATTCACGTAACTCACATAACTCTAATAATAGTTAATACTCCATTAATACTTCATAATAATATTCACACAACTCACATAATCCTTTCATTAATTTTATCTGCAAAGCTAGTGACGTTATTTTTCCCCTATCTCTTCACATAACTCTAATAATAGTTAATACTCCATTAATACTTCATAATAATATTCACATAACTCACATAACTCTTTAATTAATTTCCTCTGTAAAGCTAGTAACGTTCTTATTTTTCTCCTAACTCTTCCCATAACTCACTCAACCCTAACTCTCCAAAATGGTTCAAACTGGTGAAGAATATCCTTCATCTCGACATTTCATCCATCACTCCACTCACTAATAAGGGTATAATTTCCATCGTACCTACCCCATAACGTGGTCAGAAGTTTAGCTTTCGCGAAGATGAGGTAGATTCCATAAACGCAGCCTGCGTGAATAAAAATTTGCGCTACTAAATCCGGCCACCTGATACGCGGTACAAATTCCGCCTTGCTGCTACGATAACTCTCATCAGCCGACAGAAAATCCTCTGTTTCTGCCAATCTCCTGTTCTTCGAGTCGTTCTCCCTCTGCTTTTCCTCCAACACCTCGTACACGGTTGGCGGCACTTGTTCCTTGTTCGGAGACATTTTTAATTTTGAATTTCCTTTTTCTTTCGTAAAATCCTTCCAAGGTTTTAATCAAATTTTGGATGATCTTCAAACGCAGTCCAATTCTGCGCCTTGCATCCTAGTTCCCTTTGGAGTAGGTGACGAGTTGATGGCGCATGGAGCTTTAAAGCGTAGTCTCTGCAATGGAGATTGGTATCATGAAATGATCTTTTTCATCGGGCAATTATCGCGCAACCGTCCTGTAATTGACACTAAAACTACGTCAAAATGACATTTGAATTGTTTGCTTTTGTAATTGGTGGAAATGTACAAGTGTCTCTGACAGGGTGAGTTTCGTTGAGATAAAAACACGATTAGGTTTGGATTATTTAATTCGATCGTTATTTGGGTCTCATTTAAATATAAATTACGAGCCAGGAGTTCTGGTGTCGATATATAATTACAGTGACAAATATTATGATTTATCATTGCACAATTATTACGAATAATATTGCAATATATAAATAAGCGTCAATAATTATGAAAATATTCTAAGCACATATCCAATTGCGAAATGTTTTTAATTTCCTGTCTTCAATTTTTTGGAGAGAATTGATTTCGAAACAATACCAATTTCAATAAATAAGGAAATTTCTGTAAAATTTTCGAATTAGGTCACTTTTTCGTAATTATAATTATATAACCATCGTGTAATCGAGTATTAATGGAAATTTAATTCGAGTTTGACGATTCGAGTGCTAATTCGGAGAGGTACCCTAATTTTCAACTTACTTTATCAGTATAAAATAGAATAGAAATAACAGTTTGTCGATTATTGCGAAGCTGGTGAAATTAGTTGAAAAATATTTGTGAAATTCGTTAAAGATCGATAACGCGTGGTAAACGACAAATTTCTTTTTTCGCGTAATATATCATCGAAGCGACATACGATGTTCCCTTCGTTTATTCGATCGACTTGGTTTCAAGCAACCATCCATGAATCGATCAATCACTGTACAATATCACTATACGCAAGCGATGGCTGCGAGAGACTGAGCCTCAGGACTTGACTGAATGCTAAACGATACCATCCATCGATCGTAGATATTGCCATGTATGGTATCACTACGTGCGATGATAAAGTTATTTATTTTCAGATACACCTTACTATCGCATGCGATCGCGTCGCTGAATTTTGCGAATATTTTTCCTAGTTTGGGCATTCACCCGAGATCGTCATCTTGGCGAAATTCGTCGTCGAATGAACAATCGAAGATGTTCGAGAAAGGGATCCATTGATCTCTAGAATCATAGCTCTTTTCTTGGAAAATAGTGTTTTACAAATTACCGAGTATTTAAAAATATTCTATGAAAATTTGTATTCGATTTAACTCCGTATTCTAGAAATTTTAATTTAACTATAATTTAATTTAATTTAATTATAATTTAATTTAACATTTTTGTTGATATAAATGGTCCAATTTTTAATAATATTCGGTTCGCCATTTTGTATTATGGATTATGAATAATTGTGTGCTAAGTAAAAATTAAAGGTAACTTGTGTCTCGTGTTATTGTGATTGAGGCGTTTGAAAATTGGAAGCTGAAGATTCAAGATGGCGGCGAATGTGAGGAATGGTAGGCAATTCTTTTCTAACCTCAAATTTGTTTTTATCGGGAATTTCAGATTCGAGTGGGTGGAATATACGTGATATCGGGAATTAGATAAAGCGATCTATAATATCGTTGCATGTTATGCACGTTTTCCGCGATATTTCAGTTACATAGGCTTACAGATTCGAGGCCTTATCGGAATTCGTATTTTACGATAGACGTATCTACACCTGGCTCAAAGAGTCGCCTTGTGTTACGTTAGACTATTGATAATATTCTCCGAAACACGAAAGCTATGCTCGTGCTTTGTCATTTTCTACAAGAAAATACAATTACACGATTATTCCGATTGATTTTTGTAACAGATTATCGATATACGCCTTCCTGGATCTATGAATCAAACGAAGAATCTTAAAAACTAACCTAATCTGTTCTTGTTCGTCCCACTTTCGATCAAACCATAGTTTCCAAACCCTGTCAGAACTACAAAAAATATTTTCACAAAGTTTTCCTAAAAAATGTATCAGCCTATAAACGACCATAACCTATAAAATATAAAAGAAACGAGGAATATTAAAATCAACCTAATTCTTCTTCGTTCGTCCCACCTTCAAAAAAATCACAGACCTTAAAACTTATCAAAAAGCAGAAAAATATTTTCACAAAATTTTCTCAAGAAACGTATTAGCCTATAAACGATTAAAAATCCAAGAAAAAGAAGAATCTTACAACTAACCTAATCTCTTTTCGCCTATCCCAACGAATATTTCCAAACAAACCATGGTCCCCAAACACCATGAAAACTCCGAAAGATTCTTTCACAAAATTTTCTGTGCTTCTTTCACAAAATTTTCTGTCTCACATAGATTTACTCGAAATCGATTGGACGCTGTGTACACGACGAAGAACGCAAATGGAACGAGAAACGAACGTTATTGGAAAGCACGAGGAGGGAAAATGGCGGAGGGTAATGCGTCTGGCGCCACACTTCTCGGCTACAGGGACGAAGGATTTCATATTCCTGTCTCGGCGGAAACGCTATAGGGTATTTCGCTTGGAACCCATTGAGATCCTCGCAAGAGTTGTAGTTAGGAGTGTTCATGACGAACACGCAATAAAGAAAAAGGAGAACGGAAGAAACAATGCGACTGGCGCCACGTGTCTCGGACCATAGGGGTTGGAAGTAATATTCCTTCACTGTAGGGGGTGTCGGGTGTCCTTATGCTGATGTGTCGCGAGCAAATAGAGCTCGAAGCTAAGTGTATTTACTCGAGGAAATTAACTTGGAATATCCTGCTTCCACCTCGACGATCAAGAATTCTTTCTCGTCCCAATTTTCCATTTTTTCGAATCTTTTACTCAAAGTAATTAACGCGAGAAATGGAAATGAGAGCAAAGCGAAAAGAAATTTTCCATTTTTCAATTTTTCAACTTTCTATTGCTTTCGTGAATTGTACTGTCATTCGCGAGATGATCTAGCGAGTGGTGTGCAAAATAGCTTGAGCATATCATGGAATGGAGAGAGATTAATGTATTTTCTTCCCAATTTCATTTTTATTCCTTCGACGGGAGATATTTATTGTGCATGATTCACTATCTAGCATGTAATCCGATTTACGCATGATCCATAAATTTTGAATTATCATTCGAATGATCGATTGGAAGATTAATTCTCAAGATCAATTCACAACCTTGGAATACAAAATCTTTCTCTTATCAATCTTCGAAATTTCTATTCCACTCATAAATGATACATATATGACATATATATGTATACAAAAGTCTCAAATATAGTAGTATATAGTACGTAAAATTATCTGTACTAATTACTATAGTAAAATTAAAATGAACGGAGTACTACTATAATTATTATTACCTGTGATAAAACGTGCATTTCACAATATGATTTACACTCTCTCCCTTTCTCTCACTTTCTGATTTTGAATACATTTTATGAAGGTAGTACCACTGTAATTATTGTTACGTCTGGTACAATACATTGAAAGTTTCAAATATAGTAGTATATAGTACATAAAATAATCTGTACTAATTACTATAGTAAAATTAAAAAGAACGGAGTACTACTATAATTATTATTACGTGTGATGGAACATACATTTGACCATATGATTTACACACACACTCTCTTTCTCTCTCTCTCTCTCTCTCTCTCTTGCTCTCTCTCTCTCAATTTCTGATTTTGAATAAATTTTGTGAACAGAGTACCACTGTAACTATTGATTATTACGCCTGGTACAATACATTGAAAGTTTCAAATATAGTAGTACATAGTACATAAAATAATCTGTACTAATTACTATAGTAAAATTAAAAAGAACGGAGTACTACTATAATTATTATTACGTACATTTGATAATATGATTTACTCTCTCTCTCCCTCTCTCTCAGTTTCTGATTTTGAATAAATTTTGTGAACAGAGTACCACTGTAATTATTGATTATTACGTCTGATACAACACATTGAAAATCCCAAATATAGTAGTACATAAAATAACCTGTACTAATTACCATCGTAAAATTAGAAAGAAGATTCTTTCATATTTTCTTGGCAGAAGATAGTTACACAATCCACTAACCGACACATTCAACGACCACAACTATGAAGCATAAAATAAGAATAAAATTAAAATAAGACTTTTTGTCGCAATCTAATCATCCACGCTATAGTTACACTCGAATCATTCGCGTCATAGGCATCGTACAGTCTATTCCACTCGAACATATTCATGAAACTCATAAAGCTGAAGATCGTTTCTCTTCTGTTAGATTCCGTTGCTTTTTCTCACGAGCTAGTTACGTAAGAAAAGATATATTTTATTTCTGCCATGGTCATTCACGTGTTCCCGATACACGCTATATATTTCACAGCCAATGTCCTCCGGTTCTTACGAAACAAAATGGCCACTTCTACGCCGCCGCGGACGCTCATTATTTTTCAATCAGCGACGAGTTCGTTCCCTGCACCCAGATCTCGATTAGGTGTTCACGGAAAATTACGTTCCCGTTCGGAACGGTGTTTACGAACCTCGTTAATTGCACAACGATTGGACAATGTCGCGTAAATATAGACAGCTCGTGGACGCGTGTCAAACCTCAGATCGGCCAAAAATACGTCGACGAACCTGTGTCCGCGTTTCCACGACGTTGTGCTCGTTATTCGCGTGTTGTTTGTTCCGTTTCGGACGAAAAGAATGTTGGTTCGAATGAAAACAGATCATAGATCAATTCAGGTGAATCGCCACGCAGACCGAGTTATAAATTTTTGCACAAAATATTTTTTCTCTTTTTTCTTGATGTAAATTGAGGAAAAAGAGCTGCATATCGTAGTTAATTGATTTTTGAAAATTTGCATGTGATAGATCGTTTCGTGGTTAATTTTAATCGAATAGTACGATGGTAAATTATCCTACAGAGTGGATCATAATTTTTACTAGAAACTTTGTATTCTTTTGTAAATTGGAAATGGAAAGGAGCATATCGTGGGTATCAGCTGATTTTTGGGAATTTAGTTGCGATAAATTGCTTCGTGATTCATTTTGATCAAGAATATTGTGCAATTTTATTTTAATGTAGTTTTGAGAGAAGGAGAAGTTAAAGGCTAATCTGCATTAATTGGTAACTTTGATTAACAACGAAATGACACGTTAATGGAGAAGACCAAAGCTGTTCAACTATTCTTTCTCAGCCTCCGAACTTTAATAAATTTTGTGTACAGAATATTACTATAATTAATATTATTATGGTGTTACTTCTTTCTCAGTCTTAGATCATTTAATAAATTTTATAAATGAAATACCACTATAATAATTATTATAGAATTATTTTCTCTCAGTCTCCGATCTTTAATAAATTTTATGAATGAAATACCACTATAATAATTATTATAGAATTATTCTCTCTCAGTCTCCGATTTTTAATAAATTTTATGATCGGAGTACTACTGTAATTATTATTACGTGTGATGAAACGCGAATTTGACAATTGGTTTACTCTCTCTTGGTTTCCGAGCTTTAATAAATTTTATAAACGAAATACCACTATAATTATTATTATAAAATTATTCTGTCTCAGTCTCCGATCTTTAATAAATTTTATAAATGAAATACCACTATAATAATTATTATAGAATTATTTTCTCTCAGTCTCCGATCTTTAATAAATTTTATGAATGAAATACCACTATAATAATTATTATAGAATTATTCTCTCTCAGTCTCCGATTTTTAATAAATTTTATGATCGGAGTACTACTGTAATTATTATTACGTGTGATGAAACACGCATTTGACAATCTTATTTACTCTCTCTCTCTCCCTCTCTCTCTCAGTTTCTTATTTTGAATGAATTTTATGAACGGACTACAACTGTAATTATTATTACGTCTGATACAACACATTGAAAGTCGATTTAATTCAGTAGCGAGTAAATTATACGAATGGTTGTCCTAACACTTGTCATGCTGGTGGTCAACTAACCTATGATCCAAGTAGGCTGGCCAGAACGTTCCTTCGAGTCGAGCACGAATCATAACGTGCATATCGTTCGTAGCAAGCACGTCTATAAACGAAACCTTGGCATGCGTTCTCTAATGTTGCAGTCTCCGGTAGCACATCGTCCATTCGTTTTGTTTTTCTAATATACCGATGACGTTGCACTTTCCGGCATAATTATCTTGGACTCGGTCCCCGTTCTACAAGCTCGTCCAGCGAGGACGTTGCTGCGTGTCCCGGAGATTGTGCCACGAGGTAATCCGTCACGGTATCGAAGATGCGTTGGATGTCATTCGCGAGATGCAACTGGAAGGCAGTCAACGAGGAATCGGAATAACGTTTGCTGAAATCGATGTCAATGGCGTAGAGTCTTTCGCGTTGCCTGGATGGGGGACGCGGATGATTCTGAGACATCGAGAGCGTGGTTACTAACAGTCAAGAGTGAATGACGTAACTGCGTGATTCGATTATTTTTGTAACGCCGATTCAGTGATTTGAACCGATCAAAAGATGTGTTCCTACGCGATCTTGCTTCTCTGTGTCCACGTAATCGAGCATCATACTATTTCAAAGAACACTTTCCGAAGTAATTTAGTCATTTGGAGGTACCGGGGCCTGGTAATTCTGGATTACTGGATTTATGGAATTTGGTAAATCTAGGTTTATTAAATTTACGGGATTACTAAGTTTTGCGAATATAGAGTTCCATTAATAAATTTAGTAATTTAAAATACTGGGAGTACACAGTGCATAGAGTGTTCTTATGATTGGAAAAATCGAGATCTTCGATTTTATTTGTTAGAATAGGAAGCGAGAAGTCGAAATAGAGTGTAGTAAATCTGGATTTATTAAAATTATTAGAATTACTAAAACTAGTAATTCAAAATACTGGGAGTACCACAGTGCATAGATCGAGACCTTCGATTTTTATTTTTAAAGTAGAAGGCGAGAAGTCGAAGTAGAGTTTAGTAAATCTGGATTTATTAAATTTACTAAAATTACTAAAATTAGTAATTTCAAACACTGGGAATACACAGTGCATAGAGTATCCTTACAACTGCAAAAAATCGAGACCTTCGATTTTAATTTTTAAAGTAGAAGGCAAGAAGTCGAAGTAGAGTCTAGTAAATCTAGATTTATTAAATTTACTAGAATTACTAAAATTAGTAATTTCAAACACTAGGAGTACACAGTGCATAGAGTGTCCTTACGATTGGGAAAATTAAGACCTTTGATTTTAATTTTTAGAGTAGAAGATGAGAAGTCGAAATATAGAATCTAGTAAATCTGGATTTAATTAAATTTACTAGAATTACTAAAATTAGTAACTTCAAACAATGGGAGTACACAGTGCATAGAGTGTCCTTGCGATTGAGAAAATCGAGACCTCCGATTTTAAATTTCAAAGTAAAAGACGAGGAGAAAGAAGTCGAAAACATTAGTTTCTTAATAAATTCTATGGGTCCATAGAAACGTAGAAACGTGCTTCGTTGAACGCAGAACGATGGGAAAAAATATCGCCAAAAGCAGATGAGAGTTATCGAACAGAGACCAAGCGACTGATTACTCGAATAATAACGTTTTGCATCGCGTAATCTAAAAACACGAAGTAGACGTCTGCAAAGTTGGCGTCACCAAAGTCTCGCAAGTTGTTAGCATTGAGAATTATGATGGTAATTTGCTTCGCTAATAGACCATTTAAAAGGGATGATGGAACTTGGAGAATATCGCAAAGTTTTCTGCATCGACGTCGATAAGGCGTCTCTTGCAGAAAGTATGTTGAGGAAGTAGACTTCCGGAAGATTGGTACTGTATAGATATAGCATGGTTACTTACGATAATAACCCATCAAATTCGAGAAGGAGACAAAAGGATGGGTAGAACAGAGACTTTCGCGAAATTTACTTCGATTCCGAATAAAACTTGTTTTCTGTGCACACACGAGGTACACTTCCGGAAGAATGGCGCCGCGTGGATTATGGTACCACGCTACATCGATTAATCTTTCACTTCCTTCCGCGTAAATCAATGGTATCAAATAATTCTTTTATTAATCAGTATATACCTCGTTAATTATAATTTTTTCATAAGTATAACCAAGTACAACGATTTATCCATTTTATTCAGTCGTTAATTAGTAATTTATGGGTATTAAAAATTAACATTACGTAGCGGTATTATAATCACTCTTAATTACGCAAGAACGAATAATCAAATAATAATTAACAAACTATCGATATACCTATGCAAGCAACAATTAATCGATACGAATAGGTATAATAATTAATAGAATAATTAACCCTTTGCATTCGAGAGGTGATCTTCAGTGACCATTAGATAAAATTTCGAAGATCGATGTTAATTAATATACGAAATTTAAGATAATGTAACGGTATGCAAATAATTCTACGTTTGAATTGTTACTCGATTCTTATTTATTGCTGAACAAAATATCGTCAGCTTTATGGAAGACAATTTTTGAACCCCTACTCTTCTTTAGCCAAAAATCGTCGAGTGCAAAGGGTTAATAATCGGGTATCAATTGATAACGAACACTTTATACAAGCCGCTGAATAAATACCAATTCCACCACGTTCTCGTTCGCCAAAGGAACCCAACTATTAACACGTCAATACCAATTTTTCCCGATTATTAACGCTAAAACATCTGGTACCTCGAGAATCTTCCATAAAGAGCCACTTAGTCCCCTAATTAAATATACACATTCTAGTCACTCGTTAGAATTTTCACCGTGCCACCAATTCTCAAAGCAAACACTCGATCCCGGGCTTCATTATTACCTCGGATTCCACGTATCTCCAACGATCGCGAATAAATTTCCCGTCATTATCAAACCCGCTAAAATCCTCGCGATTAATTGCCAGTCCAACGGATGGTCGCAAGCCAGCAACCTAATTAAGAATAATCGCATCCACTACCCAGCGGGAGCTTCGTTTACCATCTTTTCTTATCGATCTATCATGCTGTTAGACCATGCTGTTAGACCCTACCTCGGACCAGTGCCACATGGTTAATTAAAACGTGGCACGACGAACCTCGCTGATTAGTCCAGGCAATGGTGCGTCGATTGTAAAAATAGGAAAAAGAAAAAGAAAAGGAAAATGGAGGAGGAAAGGAGAAAAAATGGTTTGGTACAGATTTGGTTGCAATTAACACAGCCGACCGCACGTCCCAGAGCGACCTATACGGTTTCCACCGCGCTCGGGGAACACAAACTGCGTTTTTCGGAAATATTGAATAAGGGGCCTTAAAAATTGGTGAATTTTATTATACGTTGTGCTTTATAGAAGCAGTTCATGAGTAATTGCGAACAACTCTAAATGGAGGTGGTGCAAGTAATAACCGAAAACGAGAAACGCGTTGCTAAGGTCAAAATGGGAGATCTGCCCGATCGATTGGGCACCGATTTACTTCAAAATGGGGAGATTCCCCGATCGGTCGGCTAAGTGTTAACGTGGGTAGAGGAATAGAATGGTGATCGTGACGGGGGAAAGACCGAAATACCGAGTGACAGGTACGGTCCTCGTTCTTCCTCGTCGTACGAGGTCTTCGTAACTGGAAGAGACAATTTAGGAAGTCGTAAAAAGGCGTGACGTAATCGCGTTTAACGTGCTCGTGAGCTGAAGAACGCGGAGGATCGCGAAGGACGAGGAATGACTGTCCTTGGTGTGGAATATTCGTGTATCTACATAACTTTCGTTTCGGCGTTAGGCGTATTTTCAGTTGTTTTTAAATAACGCAGACTGTTCTGGAAATGGAATGGAAATACTTTTTTAACCCCCTACGGGCCCGTGTAACTTTCAAGTTACATGTATGGGTATTTTATTAAAATACTGTATTCGACGTTATCGCTTTGATCACTCCAGTTCGCGATTTTTCTTTCCATATATTTATAATTATTTTTACAATACCTCCCGTGGTTCCATTTTTAAAAATTCTAATTCTTTTTCATTTACCGGTTATTCCATCATGATAGGTTAGGTCCTCTATGCCTCCCTACGACCTTTTCTCCACAAGATGGAAAATTATCTTGTCTATCTATCGCGCATTATCTTGGCACAATAGTATAACCGTTGTTAATTCAAACTTTCAATATGAATTCGTTATAATAAAATTGTCAAAACTGCTGAATTTATTGGTTGAGATTTGTTGATTTTATGTTACATACAACTCTTGTAATCAAGAAAAATATATATTAGGACTATCGAGGGTTAAGAGAAGATTTTTGGTACTATACTCGAACCATTTTCTAAATTTTCTAATTTTTCTCTTTTCTTCCCATTTTATTTCGAGAAATTTTATTGGCAGTATAGTATATAATAATTTTGGATTTAAATATATATTTTATGTTAATTACAGTTTATGATGTGCAAGGTGTTTTATATAAAATTAGGCACGATTTTTAAAGTACACGCGATAATCTGGCAAAAAAATATTTGGAATAAAAATTGCCGTGTTTTCTGTGCTCTATACAAATCCGGGAAAAAATTTTTGGAAAGTATTTCTTTTCTCAAAAATTTTGAAGGCCACGAATGTTTTTTCAAATGGTACTTTATATTTTTGATTTTATATTATTGTAGCCTATATCTAGACGAATTCAGCGATCTAGTATAACGTGATCTTTGAACGATCTTGAAGGCGAAGAAATGAAAATTGCAACGAAAAATGACAATCAGTATAAGGGGTGATAATATCTATATACTATACTATATATTATAAATTTTATACATTTTGTATATCGTACATCAAATATATAAAACCTATACCCGTGAATTTCTGAATAAATAATAATAGTAACGAGAAATTAGTAATTATTCCTATATAATTAGTATAATTAGTAATTATTAAAGTATATTATATATAATATATTTTAATGTGTAATAAATTATAGTGCTACGATAAGTTTCATTGCATTATTTTAACCCTTTGTGCTCAAGAGATGCCTTTCAGTCGCCATTTGATAAAATTTCGAAGCTCGATATTCATAAATACGTCAAATTTCAGATAATGCAACGGTGTGCGAGGTATCGAAATGAAATAATCCTACGTGTTAATTATCATACGATTTCTTGTTCACTGCTGAGAAAAATATCCTCAGCTTTGTAACAGAAAATCTTTGAACTCCCCTCCTTCTTCCTTCTGTCTGTTTTCAAAAAATTGTCGAGTGCAAAGGGTTAAAACGCGAAAGGGTTAAAACGCGAGGCAAATAAATGGTCGCAACCGTATCCGGAAAATTTCCAGAAATTCCCAATTTTTCCAATCGAAATACCCGTGTTACCTCCAAC